AGGGTGTAAGATTTGGGACTGATGTGTTAAAAAATAAACTTTGTGTGGTGCTCTTCCTTATAATAGAATCTGTATTAAAGATCTGCCAACAAAGTACTAATACTTTGTTCTTGTTTCTTATCTGAGCCTTGTAACCTATTAAACAAAACTATAAATATAGTCATCAAGAAAAATAAGCTTAAGTTAAATGTTAAATTGTTGCAAAAATAATGTTTCTGATTAATTGTCTTTGTCAAATACTACCGTAAATGGTGTTGAAATTTGTTACTTAATCAAAGAACTGTCTAAACTGTGTGCATTTACATTTTAAAAAATTAGAACGCAATTTACCCAGAAGATAAACAATTATGGTCCAATTTTATAAGTGTATCTTCAATTGTTAGAACATACTTTAAATAGGAGCAAGTATGTACCAATTAATTATAACTCAGAAGATTATTCTTAGCTCATTGTAGAGCTGTATAATTCAATCCTGAAAAAAAAATGCCTGTAAAGGCACATCATGATTTTAATTAATTTTTTTCTAACTGTTTAATTTTTAACTTTTTTCCCAATGTGTTTAATTTTTAAACAAGCTCTTCTAGCTACATATTTCATTCTCACCATCATATCTCTTAAACAAGAAAAATAAAGTTAAATAAATTGGATCAGTATTCAAATAAAAGCCACTTAAAGTGATGCTCTCAGGCATTTATTTTTATTCTTCTGAAGTATCCATCAATCATATTAGCTCTTTAAAAAAGAGACCAGCCTTGAAGGCCCAGACAAAGTTTAATATAACAAGGGGAACTGCAATTTTAGAACAACATTTTCCATGAAGTTATAATACTAAAAAATCTGTAGACTGGGGAGATTTCAGATATTTAGGTAATGATGAAATACACTACTATAGTGACTGGAAGAGATAGAAAGCAAAAATCCCCACAAATGGAGAAAATGGGATTAGAGGACTCTCTTTTGGGGCAATGAGAAATTGCTTTGGGGATATTCTTATTTTCATAAACAATTTTCATTTTCACAAGAAGAATCCCCTGTCTACAGTCCTGATTACAAGCCTCTCACAAGAATAGTTTGTTGTGTTTTGTCGCTGTACATTTTGTGGTTTCTGAAGGTAAGCCTTCTAAAATCAGTATTTGTTTTGATGTCTTGGTTTGTAGGGGGCTGATTTTTTTTACATTGCCCTAATGACATAGCTTATAGATAGAGACCTAAAACCTTCCCTGGAGCAATTGATTGGATGATATTGAGTAGATCTACTGCAGCACTGCCAGTATGCTATTACCGATTTCGTGGCAGTAGAGTTTTCTTAGCAAGGATCATGGTGACATCTAGACTGTGGTCATGGGGTCAATGCCATCACTCGTCCTAAGTCCTTCTTCCTTTCCAGAGATGCAAATGATCCTGTGCTTACTGACTGCACTGTTGTTAAAATTGCTGGTGATGGCCCTTGAATTTATATGTTTTACTGTAAATTTGAAAAATATAAACCTCACAAGTGAGGAATGCTGACCATTCTGGGGTTAGACATCCACTTCTAGGTACCTCTGCTGCTGTGACTGTACTTGGCAAACATAGAGTGACAGTCCTTCCAGCCTAGAGTTCCTACCTGAATTAATGGGACAATTAACCAAAAAAGTATTATCTTTTCCAACTGCTTTATAGTTCCTTAGAGTACCTGTTGGCTGAATTGCATCTCTTGCAGTAAAACAAAGATAATATTTCTGCTATCAAATCTCAGAAAGAACTACGTGTGCTTCTAAAAAGATGATTTAGTGTTTGTGTCAAGATATTAAGTTCTTTCTTCATTGAAATAAGGCTTGACTGGGTTCAGTTGTTCTTCATATTCAGGTATCAAATGACAAGACAGATTTGGGGTAATGGGTTGTTTGGTTCCCTAGTCAGGATAGCACCCCTTAGTCCTTTTGATTTAGTATATGTTCTTATGGCTGCTGTCAGTGTATTAAACCCCCTATTAAAAAGAAAAAAAAGACATAAGCTAGTAAGAAAATTGTGTTTTAAGAACAAATAACTTAGTGATTAGAAAATCAGGATAACATGACAATATAATTTCATCTTCTAGGCAGTGTATATGTATATGACTGCATATTTATGTTACTGTAATTGCTCACCCAAAGTTTTGAGGCCTCATTTAAGCCTCATTCTGAGTTAATATAATTCAACACAAAGGCAGCAGCTAAATATCTGCTCCTTTAATGTTGGTATGTCTTGAATTCTTGTATTTAAATACGTATTCTTAATTTTATGTAATAGAGTCAGTTATATATTTTGCCTTTACATGCACTTTTTGAAAGAAAGGTTAAATGGGAGAAAAATAAACTGTTGATATTCATTAATGTTTGAAATATCACTACAAGCACTTAATGATAAGACTTCCAAGCAAGAAGTACAAGTTCCATTACAGTGAAATGGAAATTCAACACTTAGCATACATGGATAATTCTGTAAATGTCAACTGAACTCCCATTTTACTAATGTTAACTCAGTGTTTTGAAAATCAAAACTCAGTATATGGAAAGGCTGGTTAAAGTGGTAACTTTTTTCCTTTGCTACCCATGTATGTTTAAACCCTATTTCTTTTAATGGATCTGCTCAACTTTAAGGATTTTCTTGTTTCCTTGCTCTTGACATATCACTTCTATAGGAACCACAGAAGCAATTGTATAGACCACACATGAGTAAAGTTCTAGTGATCCTGGGTAAATCTGAGGAGCGTTAATAACTTTTTTCAATGCCAGGCTTTTTAGGTCATCTGAACATTGAGAGGAAAAAAATCTTAGAAGGTAATAGGAAGAATCAAGGGGGAGGAACTGTGGAAACTGAATTTTTTGACATGTAGGAATTGTGTGAGCTATGTGGTCATAACCATAGCAATGCTGATTGCCTGGCTGTGCCTGGAACAGGCACACAGCAATTCGATGGCCAGAGAAGAAACAGTAAGACTTCAAACCATGCCAGGATCTGCACTGTAGTACCAATCTGCCCTGTGTAGATGAAAGCAGTTCATGGTAGAGATGAGACATTGCACTTTTGATTTTGCTTTAGAAGGCAATATTGCTGTTGTGTCCTGCGCATGGTTAAAAGTTTCATATTCCTAGTAGCTTTAAAATGGATTACATTTCTCTTGTCCATCCTTTCAGTTTTGCTTGGGAGAATTTACACCTGAATAAATATCTGTGTTTGTATCCATCAAATGCAAAATACCTCAGTAGTAGTCAAGGCAGCCCTTTATGGCTCTGTTAGCAAGGAACTCTGCTAAAATTCTCCAGGAAAGCAGCACTATCCTGAGCCATGTCAGCTCAGCAGAAGCAAAATTCATATGACCATCTGCATCTGAACTTGCAGGTACACCCTCTGAGCTGATGACTGTGCTTGCCTCAACCTCAAGACTTCTTATTGCTCAGAAAAAGCATAACAAAAAAGCAGGAGGCATTAGTTCCCCAAAGTTTTTCAGCCCATAGTAGTAGGAGTGCACTTCTTTCCCCCTAGTTTTGCCTCAGTTTAGCTAAATATTCTTTTTATTCTTTTTCTTAAGAATCCATCATAGTTGTTGGGACCAGTTAACCCAGAGAGGAAGCAACAGTTTGTAACCCTTCACGATCATCAATATATGGTTTCTTACCTTGTCTGCTTCCTTCTGAAGTACTGAAGAGGAACCAAAACTTTGAAATGCCAAAAAGCCACACTGATTTAATTTTCCAGGGACTCAAACATGGCCAAAGAGATCAGCTTAAGTTTTTAATAAAGGCATTCATCACAGAGTGAAAGAAAAGTCTTTTTCCATTTCAGTATAAGAATTTTTTGCTGGAGAATTAATAGATGGGAGTAGAAGAACCTCTTTGTTCTTGACTGGGATTAGCGCAGTCTGTGGTATAAGACTTCAGTGAAATCCTCTTGTAATAAAGTACTGATGTAACCTTTTTTTTCTTCTCTGTTGTATATTCTGATGTCAAGTTTTATAGCAGTCATTTCATTTTTTGTTCCACTATATTACTACACAGACATTAACAGCAACTGTATGTACTTCTAGATTCTCTAAAGAGGTCTTGCATATGAAGTTCCAGAGGTGGTTCAGCCCAGCCATTATTAACTAGAGAACTGTGTTTTGGTATAATTTTTACCATCAAAAAGAGGTCTTTTTTTTTCCTGAAAATCAGAAACATATTCCTCTGAGAAATGTCTAGCTTTACTTGTAGGAATACGCTTTAGCTCACAGAACTTTCAGCTTCTATGCTTGTATAGGAAACATAAGCAGGATAGGATATTGAATGCTCAGCTGAGATCTTTTTAGAAGAAAATGATACTAGGTCTGAATTTGGCTTCAGGAAACTGTCATTTAACTGTGGTCTGAGTTGATATTAATCGAGCAGTATTCATAGTTCACAACCATCCTGTGACATAGCTGGTTTTGTACTGGTATTAATACGCTGAAAAAAATGAACAGATCTTTCTATTTTCTTCACTCCTGACAATACCTTGTTTAACTAGCATTGTCGCAGAACATCCTTCCTTACTTGTATGCTACTGTATGAAGATGGAGCACTTTTCAGCACAAGCAAGGAGGAGTTTCTGGCTGATCAGCTCCTGTTTTAAAACAGTATTAAGGACAAGAAGAGCAGATTTGGCATAGAGCCCAGCAAGAGAATGATAAGATCCTGTACTAATTTGGAGAGCTTGTGTTACCTGTAGGTTATGTGGCACATTATGTGTTGATGAACTATATGACCATATTTTCTAGTCTCCTCACGGCATGACAGCATTATGAAAAGAATGGCAAGCATGTGTTACCCATTAGAAAGTCCATTATGATGGCCTGGAAAATATTGGTGGCTATTGGTGGCAGTAAAGAGATGCAAGTGTAATTTTCAGAAAAAAGATTACTGTTGCACATTAATTTTGAAGTCTCGTAAATGTTCCTCCTTAGTTTCCAATATCAGGAGGCTGATTATTTACCACAATGCTATGACTGATTTCTTTTGTAGAATCCCACTCAATGTGAGAGACATTGTCTACTGTACCGGAGTTTCACTGATGGATGAAGATGTATGGGAGTTCATTTGGATGAAATTTCATTCCACCACAGCAGTGTCTGAGAAGAAAATATTATTGGAAGCCTTAACTTGCAGTGATGACAGAAACTTGCTCAACAGGTACAAAAATGTTTTATATCTGAATCTGTTACCAATAATCACTTCAAAATTTATGGGTCATCACTTGAGGTTTGGTCTGAATGAAAGAACTTTGCTTTTCAAGCACACACTATCTGTTGAAACCTTCTTATGCTTTTGCAATAATACATATAAAAATTGACACATATTATACCTTTTCACTTCCAGATTTTCCTATGTTCATTGGAAATGTTTGAAATCCTGTAATTGGTGATATTTTTTGTTGGCATATCATTTAAATGTCTTGACCAGTCTGATCTTAGAGATTTCATAAAAATGCATACATAAAACTCCACTTAACTTGTACTGACATCCTTTTACATCAAGATTTTTCTGATTCATAAACACGTCCAGTCTTTGGAATCATAGAAATAAACCACTGAACTCACTTGGAGACTTAAACAAACCATTTGGCAGTGATTTTTTTTTTCTGAGAGTTTTCTGATGTGCTGATATTAGACTGTGTGTTGGTGAAACTAAGTAGGATTTTTTTTCTTGTTTCCCCCACTAGACTTTTGAATTTGTCTCTCAACTCAGAAGTTGTCCTGGATCAGGATGCAATTGATGTGATAATCCACGTAGCTCGAAATCCACATGGAAGGGATCTTGCTTGGAAATTTTTCAGAGAAAAATGGAAAATACTGAATGCTAGGTAAAGATAAAAAATCTAAATTTATTTTCATTTTCTTATCTTGATATAATTCGTGTGTATTCATGTAAGTTCCTGAATGTAGTCCATTCTCTTTTAATTCATAAATAGAGATGTCTCTAAATATGAAATACATACATATAGGTCATAAATGCATTTATTCATGGATTATCACACACGTGCATAGAGACATTTGTCTCTTAGCAATCATCTGTATATATATTGCTTTATTGTGTCTGCACTTATGATAATGAATTCTACCTATATATCAAGTGCTGCAGTTCTACTTTTATAGAGATAAAAAGCAGAAGTTCCCAAAGTAGTTTTTCTGATTTTAAGTCTGATAGAAAAAATTATCTTTTTAAGAATGTTATTTCAACTGTGGAAAAAAAAAGCCAAACCCTTTTTGAAACACTTCCATTTTCAAAAGGATGCTAATGTAGTGTCATCCCTTTTCTTTCCACTCTGTGTTTCAGGTGAGTTTCAAGTAATAAAGGAGCAATATTTGAAATTAAAAATAGATGAACAGAAAGGAGACAGGGTTACTCCTTACACCTGCTTCTCTTTCTCTTTGAACAAGTGCTACATGCTCGTACTCAGAAGCCCAGTCAACATTTTAAAATGCTTTTTGGTGAAGATTTTTATATTAATTCAATGAATGACTAATTTCTTTAGTTCTTTAGGAAGAGCCTGAGGCCCTGAAAGGTTGCACAACAGCTCATCTGATACTGACAGATTAGAAGGGACCACAACTCCAATGAAGCTTGGGTTCTTAAAGGCAGGTGTCCAAGAATTTCAGATATTCCACAGCAGGCACTCCTGTGGTGTTGGCAGGAAAAGTATTGGAGATATGTTCCATTCTGGACTTGTGAGGAGCCAACTGGTGTACCACAGAATATTTGAAATGGTATATTTAAGATGCTGTATTTAAGGAACTAAATCCCAGTGCCTGATAAATACAGGTACAAACTTCCTAGAGGTTTCACAGCATCAAGAGTCAAGGAAACTCAGATGCTGAGCAACTTTCCTAAAAGTTCAGAAAGCTGTTCATGCCGGTTTGGATAATATTTTATAGTATAGCGGTATTTTAGAAGAAGTTCAGCTGGGAAAACAAGTTTGAGCTGGAATTGGTTTTGGAAGTTTATATTGCAGGAGCATACCTTTTGACAGCCATTTCCAAAAAGCTTTAGGAGTGCTGAAGAGTTTAAAAAGTAAGAATTCTCTGCTCCTGGTGTGATTATTCCAGGAATTGGACTTCTACATGAAAACCGAATGGCAGACACATTACTGTTATGCAACCCAGTGCAGATGCCAAATAATTGTTCAGGTTCCTCCAGGGATTTATACAGAGTTTAGGCATAAAGCTATCACAATCTGTATTGCTGTAAACACATATGCAGCAGTCGTGTTTTGCCTTAGCAAGCCCGTTCATCTGACAACATAGCTAACACCTGTGATTTTAGATGTGGACAAGGTTAAGCAGTGTAGACAAGTAGAAAATATTTAGAAAACTATGCCACATGCCAAATCTTTTTTGCATTTCAATTTTAAATAGCTTAACTTCACCTAGAATTTGAATTGTATTTATTTCGCTTGTGTGAAATGCATCACTGTGTAATCTGAATTCTTAACAATCAGCAAGATCTCATGAAAAACCTGTTATTGTCCTTTTTTTAAAATGAGAAAATAACAGTCTGTTTCTTTGCCCAACACTGTCTTTGTGTTGTCTTCATTCAGTTTGATCTCCAAACACAAGTCAGAACCACCAAGAAGATTGTAGCAGTTGATTTTTCTGAAAGTGACATCCAGTTGAGTTTTTATTGATCACTGAAAGATTCAATGCAGTGGAATAAAACAGTTAGTGCAAACTGTACATATGTGATGTAAATTGAAAATAACATTGTTTTGTAATCACAGATTAGAACCTTTTAAGTGAGACTTTGAGAGGGTGGAATTAGTCTAATACTTTGCCCTTTAATGTTCAGTGAAACAGTGACATGATAGAATGCCAGGTCCTACATCTGGGTCATGCAATCCAAGGCACACCTCCAGTTTGGGCAGAGAAGGGATTGAGAACAGCCCTGCAGAGAAAGACTTGGGCATGATGGTTGATGAAAAACTCAACATGATTCGGCAGTGTGTGCTTGCAGCCGAGAAAGCCAATCAAATCCTGGGCTGCATCAAAAGAAACATGGCCAGCAGGTCAAGGGAGGTAGTTTTCTCCCTCTACTCTGCTCTTGTGAGACCCCACCTGGAGTACTGCATACAGTTCTGGCATCCCCAACATAAGAATGACATGGAACTGTTGAAGCAAGTCCAGAGAAGAGCCACAAAGCCAGTAAGAGGGTTGAAGAACCTCACCTGCAAAGACAGACTGAGAGAGTTGGGGCTGTTTAGCCTGGAGAAGAGGTTGCATGGAGACCTCATAGCAGCTTTCCGGTATCTGAAGGGTACCTACAGAAAGTCGGAGAGGGACTCTTTGTCAGGAACTGTACTGATAGGACAAGGAGTAAAGGGTACAAGTAGAAAGAGGGGAAATTTAGGTTAGATATTAGGAAGAAATTTTTTACTGTGAGGATGGTTAGACACTGGAACAGCTTACTCAGGGAAGTTACGGATAACCCAACCCTGGCAGTGTTCAAAGTCAGGTTGAGCAACCTGTTATGGTGAGAGGTGTCCCTGCACGTGGCAGGAGTGGTTGGGACTAGATGATCTTGAAGGTCCATTCCAATCCCTTAATGTTTTACGATTCTATGATTAGGGTTCTGATTTAAGCTCACCACACTAGGACATTTTTAAAATACATGCTTTGTTGTGGAATTATAGTTCAAAAAGGACACAGACCTCTTGGAGAGAGTGCCACGGACAGCCACAAAGATGATCTAAGGGCTGGAGTATGTCTTCTATGAAGACATGTTGAGAGAGTTGGGAATGTTCAGCCTGGGGAAGAGAAGGCTCTGGGGAGACCTTGTTGCACGTTCCAGTACTTGAAAGGGCCCTACAGGAAAGCTGGAGAAGGACTTTTTAGTGATAGGACAAGGGGTAATGTCTTCAAACTGAAAGAGGGCAGGTTTAGATTGGATAATATGAAGAAATTCTTTACTGTGAAGGTGGTGAGGCACTGTTGGATGGGGCTTGGAGCAACCTGGTCTAGTGAAAGATGTTCCTGCCCGTGGCAGGGCAATTGGAACTGGGTGACCTTTAAGGTCTCTTCCAACCCCAACCATTCTATGGTTGAAGTGATTGAAGTATACTCTGTCCCAAGGCATCCTTTTTCTACAATTATATTTTAGTATTCAATCTGATTTAAAATTAAAACACATTGTACGAAAAATTAATTTAATAAGGTCATATCTCAGTGGTATTTTCCATTTAATTTATTATAAAAGGTGTTGATGTTTCAGGTAGTAATATGAAATAGCTGAGGGAGATTGAATTATAATGCTATTGCCTCCTATTTTTAAACACAGCATGTCAAGGAGTTAGAATTACCACAAAATCTTGTTAACCTTTCATATTTTTATAGTATGCTTGTATTCATGTTGTCCAGAACATACTGATAATGTATAAAGTCTTCAAAATCACCCATATAATTTATAAAGATGACTTAAAACTTGAGTTACCTAACAAGTCTATAGTAAGAAATCTGTGGGACTGAGACTCCTACAATTTTAAAAAAGAGAATTTAAAATACTATACTTGAGTTCTTGTGACCTGAGCGTGCACTACCTCTTAAAGCATTTTCATCCTGTGTGCACATGTGTGTCTGTGTGTGAAAATTTAATCCACCAACTACCTATCAGAATTCCTTCATTCTGAAGTGCTGAATCATTTGTCAGCATTTGAAAATTTGACACTATATGGGAAGGCATTTACATCTGTGCAAAGTAAATGGACTTTGCTGCCTCTTGAGTTTGCACAAGTGCCTGTACAAATTTGGAGAACTGGAGTTTTACATCCACAGAAGGAAAGGTGCAGGTGGAGAGCCAGTGTCTCCAGAGTGTTTCCAGGGAGTTCAGGCATGTAATGTCCTAGTTCTGTAGTGTTGTTGTCTTTCCTGTTAAGGGTGAGAAGACTGACACTTGTAAGACCAAACGCTTTTCCTATTTATTCTTCTGTATCACACCTGCAAAACACTGTTTTGAAGGTGACTTTTCTAGAATTTTTGCCAGCAGAGCTTGTATAGAAATTGCTGTTAATGGCTGACTTTTTACCAAGTATGCCTAATGGGCAGTAATCAGCACAGGTGTGCATGAAGGTATCATTTTCAGTGGAAGAAATTCTATTAATTCTTGTTTGCACTGTGGCTACGGTAGGCTGCAAGAAAAATAAAACCCCTGCAACTCTTTTTATGAGGTCACTTTTCTAAAGTGGATTGGTAACCTTGTCAAAAGACCCCATCAAGAGGAGCTTCCAGTCTTCCAAACAGTCAATTATGTCTAAGCTGAGACTGTAATAATAAAGGACTTTGTTAGAAAGCCTAAACATGCTTAAGGACCATGAAATCCATACTTCCCATAGGAGATGTTTGCCTCTGGATGTCTGTATATGCCAGTGTGACCGAGGTTTTGGGAAAAGAGATGTACTTGCTGAAATATCCGTGAATGATTCAGGTATTAGTGGTCAGGGAGTAGGATTTTTGATACCTCTGTGTTTCTCCTCACACAAGCTCAAGATAGCAAGCAACATGGTGTAAACCTTCCCTAAAACAGAATCTTATCAAAGAGAACCTAGTTCTCTTCCCTCTTCGTCTTTATATCCTTCTCACTTTGGCTATCTCTCTCCTTCTCTTTCTTTCTCCCTTTTGAAAGAACTGTAGTTTAGAATACCTAAGCATTGAAGGGTAATTAATTTGGGATTAATAGAAGCAAAACAGAAAGTCATGCCTGCACTAGTTCATTTCACTTGGAATTTTGAATTCCTTCTATAAATCAGTTTGTAAAAGTGGAGGATGAACTGAATTGTTTCCCCGGATAAACTTGATTGCAGTGAAGTCTATCAGTAATACTTACACGTCTTACAGGAGAGCTGGATTCTCTATCTTAACGACAGTCATGTTCAGATTAGCTAGATATTGCTTTGGACCTGTATGGAGATGCAGATCAGGATGACTATTTGTCAAGTGTTTTTACAATGCTGAATGACATCTAACTGGAGCAAAAGACTTGCTTTGGTTTTCCAATGGAATTATGTTTTTCATGCTAAAGACTAAAAGAAAAAAACCACATCAACAAACCTCACAAACTATTTTAATGTGAAATGTAAGACTTAAGAAGTAGTCTGGTCAGGAGTCATTTACATGCTTCATTTGGAGAATTGAAAAAAACTGTTGGAAAAGCAAGTGAACAGGAGGATTTGAATGGCCAATTTCAAAGCAACTGTCTGCTGAAGGTTGTTGCTGGTGGCTGCTGAATATCCTTTAAATATTCCTTGTCCAAGCTTTGAAATTTTCATTCCAGGTTGGTTCTTTGAAGATGCTACATCATGGCCCAGGGGATTATTTTAGCAGTATTATTCTCTATCAGTATTATTTATTTTAATTATCAGGTACTGGAACAATGAAATTTGATTCAGTTCACTTATTGAGAGGCAATTTGTAATGTAGATGAGGTGAATGAATAAAAAATGCAGAGAAGGCTGCAGCATTTCAAAAAGTCTGTTTTAATGGTACAGCTAGAAGGGTTCCTCAGAATACTTCTCATAGTTGTTGCTCTGCTCCTTCATTGACATCTGTATTTTGGTGTCATTATGTGGAAAGCTGTTCTGTTAAGCATGGTTTGGTCCTTCCCTCCTCAGAAGCGCTCATTTGTGTCTGTAGTAAAGCCCATTCTGCTTAAGAGCATCTGACTTAAAATAACTACAAATATTTCAGTCTACAAGAGCATCTCAGTCTAGGGTTCTATGAAATATCAGTGTCCAGTTCCAGTACTATTTCCTTGATTCCCCAGAATCAGTCCCATGCCTTTTCACTTGCCTACAGATGATTACTTTCTAATTTTCTGTGCATCTTCTTTTTGCCCTTGCAGGTATGGAGAAGCATTATTTATGAATTCAAAGCTTGTCAGTGGGGTCACAGAATTCCTCAATACTGAAGGAGAACTAAGAGAGGTAATTTTTAAATTACTTTCGGCATGTGAGGCTGTATTTGTCATAGACAGGGGGTCAGGCAGGAACAGTAATAGGGTTGTCCAGAAACTCTGGTTGCTCAACTGCAGTTGAAGGACCAGCTGTCCATGCAGTTGGGCAGCACAAGGATGAGGAGCAGATTGCAAAATCACACGAGTGTGTAGAGGTGGTCTCAGGAGGGGGATTGTGCAGACACCTCTTTGTGCTTGGCTGGATGTGAAGGTTTGTTTTTTTCTCTTGACTGTTGGTTGAGAAACTAAAGATGAGATGTTTCTATCCGCATTAATTTATGCTGCAGAGGCCAGCCCTTGAAAACAGCAGTGTTGAAAGTAGAAGCATATTCTCTCTTTTTCTCTCGCTTACAGTATTTTCCATGTGAGAAAAGCTGTTAACTTGAATATGCTGACCAAAATAATTTGTTCTAAGTGCAAAGTACTTATTATTTAGATTGCAAAGATTTCTCATTTTAACTTAACATCTGTCCTGACTGAGGTAGTTGTACAGTTTTGCTGAGCCCTGCTTAGCAGCTGCTCAACCTTGCCCCAAATGGATCCAATGGTTCATATTGCAGCACAGTCACCATTAATTGAACTCTGATTGCATTATGATATTTTGCATCCAACCACTTGTCTGCACTCAAGTCTAGTGGCCTCAGGAACTTAGGGAAGAGCTGCAGCTGGTTTCCTCAAAATTACCCAGGTGGGAATGATAGTGCTGGCCAGATTTGAACATCTGCCCTGCTCAAGGAAGCCTTTTGTACTGTTAGTTTCAACCTCCGCAACAGCATTGGCAAGCTGCCTGTCTATACTTCCCTTAAAGAAACTGACCTTTCTTTTAAACCTTTGTAAATACTTTGGTATAAAAAGTACAGAGATCAAGTAAAGTCTGATTTTGATAGTTTCCAGGTCCCTTCCATGCTTTTAACTGTGATGGGAAACAGACAGTTGCAGAATCAGCCTTTACAGCTTTGAGCCCACGCACAAAGAGCAGTCAGAATTTAATAATCAAGGTGAATTTGGTGTCACCAGCAAACAGAAATTCACTAGTTATTCGCAAGAGTTGCTAACGCCACCTAATTTTATACAAGTCAACGTAACATGGGATCTACTATGCAGATCAGCCTTGCAATTCTCACTTAGAAAGAACAGTAATTCAAAGCACTCCACCATTAGCTGTAATGATCCAGGTGATGGTGCTATAATTTGAGTATACACAAAAACACAGCAGGGGTGTTTTCAGTCTGCAGAAAAAAGATCAAAGTTTTCTCATAAGGGAAGGGGTATGTTTCAGGCATTCAAACACTGTTAAATGAGTGCCCACTTGCTATTTTGCCATTCTCTTCACACTGTAACCATCCCTTCCTTTTTTCAACAACAGACCTGTATTATATCATCAAAAGGGATCTGCAAATGAAAATAAAATAAATGTACTGTGAAGCTTGATAAAACCAAAAGACATCAGGGCTACCTTCTGATATTTGCAAATAAACCTTAATTAGAAGCAGTTCCAGTGCTCACGATTTGGTTTCTTAGGTAGAAATAAATTTTAGAGCAGCCATCTACGCAGTGCAGCAGCTGAGCTGTAGGAGGGAAGGAGGTAACGATATTAATGTGATCCAGCGCTGACATGTCAGTATCTTCCAGTGCAATGCGAAGCAATTGCATCACATCTAACTGACAATGTGCTGTCTTATTACATTTCCTACTAAATCTTTCTACCCGATACTGCATTTACTTCTGCAGTGATCATCGAGGTTTGTCCTAAATGCCTGACTTGTTTGTGTGCAGTGGAAATATTTGCTTTCTTTAGTTGCTGCAAATTTAACCTGTTAACTTGTATTTCCAGCTAAAGAACTTTATAAAGAGTTATGAAGGGGGAGCTGCTGTCTCTTTCTCTCGCGCCGTGGAAACTGTAGAAGCCAATGTGCGGTGGCAAAGGCTTTATAAGGAAGAACTATTCCACTGGCTAAGAAAATCCTTGACACACTAATCTGTCTTTTCAGCCGACCATTTAACATGACACACTGCAAGAAAAAGAGGAGACATTTTAGAAGTGTTCAACATGAAAATCAGCAAGACAAGATCAGATTGCAGGGATAAGGGATTTTTTCTTTTTTCATTGTGGTTTTTATTTTTACACTGAGCTCTTGTGAAATTGTCAAGAAGATTTTCAGCAGACAAGATCATGAATGTTTGTGAAATCTAGTCCTCAATGTACAGAACCAAACATGGTATTAAGTGATGCATGTAAATGTTGAAGAAAAACAAACAAAAAATCCTTCATAGACTATTTTGTGCATGCTTGTACTGTCTCTGCCTGTATTTTAGCATGCTTATGTAAACAGCCACATTTTATATGTGAGTTCCAGTTACAACAAAGTTGGGCATTATACAAAGCACAAAGACTCTACGACAATCAGTATTTCAATGAACAAAGGGAAAGCAAGGAAAAGGAAATGCAGAAGGCTTCCAGCTTGGGGCAGTATGAGATGTAAAGTCAACTTTCCTGCTCTCTGCCAACTCATCTACCACTCAGATTGTCTCTTAATGATTACAAGGATGCCAGCTCATTTTTTGAGTTGCCAGTTGTTCCTGCAGTCGCCATATTCCTGTATTTAAATAAGCAAAATAGTGAGAGAGAGGAGAAAGAGAAAGGGTCGAGGAGGGGCATTAGAGAGAGAAAATGAGGACATCATCCTTGCATTATAATCATGTATATTTGTTCACTGCTGATCAGTGAAACAGTGTAGTTTTAGCTGTGACTGTGTGCAGTGTTGGACAGGAACTTCGCATTTATTTCACAGAATCCACGAACCACCTCTTCTCAGCTATTTTACAAGGCAGTGATACTCACAATGGGTCACCCATGTTACCCAACCTGTGTAGTAGTAAGTTTTGTAGCTGATAGTGCACAAGTATTATAAATAAACATAAGATTCAAAAGGAAATTAGCAAAAAAGGGAGAATATCTTGCATGCAAAGACTTAAAATTACCCAAGAGGGCTGTCTTGCATGTGGTAGACCAGCCTCTGTAGTGATTTATTGCGATAGACAGGTCAGATTCTCTATGTGGGCAATACTTCTGCAAATATGGAATGTACCATTTATGCCATCATAGAAAAGTGAAATATGGAGAAAGTGAGGGGTGTGTATGTGTGTTTATTTGTACTGAGTAATATTGAGAACATGGTTTTCTTTCTCTTCCCTTATCTTCCACATAGACTGTTGTAGATGGGTGATGGTTTTCTTAATCACGTTTGTTTCTTCTTAATCCTTAATCTGACAGATCAGTAACCCAGTGGAGTTGTACAATGACTATCTACGCCACTGAACCTAAACATTGAGGATAAAAGTGATGGGGGCCAAAATCTATCTCATGTCTACACTGTGGAGGAAAAACCCACAAAGTTATAGAGTTTTCAGGAGGCAGATTACAGCAGCATCAGAGGTAGAATGTAAATGTGCAACAGGGTTTCTTTATCCCATTCCTGCCTACACCAACCATCTGAGCACATCCTGGCCCTGTACATTGGGAACATGTGGCCAACCAAAGTAGAGAGCAGCCATTTTATCTGGTTGTTTCCTTCACAAAGCATGGAAGTTAGCAACACACTTTACAGTTGCAGTTGCTTATCCCCAGAAAGTTGTTATTTGAAACATTACTGCCAAAAGAACTAAACTCAAGCATCTTGAGTGGAGACAGTATTGTTTTCTGGGCTCTCATTCCTGTTGTAGTCTGCTCCTCAAGAACTAGTAGACCCATTCCATAACTAAGCTGTCATACCCATCTTGCGCCTGTCATTGTGTATCTTTTACTGTGCAGAGGGTGTTGTTTGTGGATTGGGTGGTGTATGAAATCCTTACGTGGGCTTTTTTTCAGCTGTTCAGTGCCGTGTAGTACGTTAGGTTGGCTCACATAACCAAAAGAAGAGGGAATCCTGTGCTCTTGTACTGGTAACTCTTTGCCTTATAGTAATCCCTAAACCTCTGTGCTATGTTTCAGTGCTAGTGAACCTAATACCCAGAGACATTGTCTCAAAACTGGGTGAAATCTTCCTCCTCCTATGTATTTTACCTACCTCACAGGGCTGTTGTGAGGCTTGACTAATGTTAGCAAAGCACTTGAATATCCTCTGATAAAAGGCATTTAAAAGTGCAAAGTATTATTTTATATGGTTGACCAAACTCAACCTCAATGCCAGTATGTAGCATCACATTTTTAATTTCTACTAAGACAAATCACATGCAGATTTTTTTGTAATAAAAAAGCAAGCCAAATACTATTTAATATAACCTCTACCCTATAATGAAGGCCAAAATGATGATATCCAAAGAGTATTCAGAAAACCAAGACCTCAAACATGAATGGCTTTGAGGATTTCAGTGAACAGAAGTGTGAAATGGTCTGTCCCTTTACAATTTTATTCCATATTGTCTTTGATGACTTTTCTTTTTCAGAACCACAGATTAAACCACATATCTTCAGGATGTGCATAAAAGTTTCCGGTCTTCCCACTGATAAAGGACAGGCTAACAGCCTGTGTATTTTGCACAGTGCACAGAAATTTCCACTCTTGATCATTTGAATTGAAGTTCTTGCACACTTAGCTGGTGTTGGATGTACATTAATGTTTTAGTGGCCTTGAGCAACTGGTCTGCCACAGATATCAAGCCCTAAATGAATATATTATACGTACCTATTCATGTGTTGCTTATAATTGTTGTATTCTAGGAATGTTGGTATTATTTCTCTAACTAAGGTTCAGCTGACTTTTCCATTATAATTCTCTATTATTTTATTTTTTATATTCTGTATTTTGCTGTTTCACATTGAATCAGGATTAAATTTAAATGGATTAAATCCAGCAAAATTAAAACTGTTTTCTACGATATTCAAACCCTGCTTTTGTTTATATGCCTTTAGAGACTTTTCTTTTAATAACAAGTTCCACACAGCTGTGTGTTAAAGAACAGTTGATTCCTCATGGAAAACTCTAATACAGTCTGCCTAGAAAATCTATTTATTTTATTGATTTTCTTTCTCCTTTACCAGTACTTTTCTTCCTTTGTCCTTATCTAAAGATGGTCCTAATTTTTATGATTTGGATTGTGATTAGGAAGCCAAATATTCCAAACATTTCAGCATTTTCTAATCCAGGATTTTACGTTATCCTTTCCAATGAGAGGAGAGCTTGCAAAATGTGAATGCAGTGTGGACATGACCTCACCTAGGCCCTGAGTTCATTTTACAGAGATTTGATGAGGCTTGAATGTATAATCAGCCTTCGTATGACTCAGGATCCTTTGCAGTTATTAATTGATATGTCATCCTAAATCATATAGGAAGACATATGAATAGACATGATTCTATGCCAGCATAACAAAATGTCTATTGTATTTTTATAAAATTGTCAACTACAAATATCTCGGCCTATTATTTTGTAGCTGGTAGAATAATTCATGTATCCATTGCTAATAGCTGTTAAAATGTTAGTAGCTACTAATTGTGACTAGGGCAGAACAATGTGAAAACATTCTTCTGAAATGAAATGTCACTTCTGCTATTACTGGGAGTACTTGGACATTTATTATGATAAAAAAACTTTGTGTCTTCTCCACTACATCCAAATCTGTGACCTTTGATGATCTTTTCAGTGAATATAGCAAGAATTCCAGTACTATGTTAGAAACTGAAGATGAATTTTGTGTAGCTTTTGGTCTGTTGTGGATATTTCACTGAGATTTAGAGTGCCAAAGGAAACATATCTAATGATGCAGAAGGTTACTTGCACAGCAAAGATCCTGAACCATACAATTAAATCCTTAGTAGTAAAGTATAAAAAAAATGAAAATTATATATATTATGTGTGTGTGTTAGTGTGTGAATGTGAAAAATCCTCCATAGAGATATTTTTTCCATAAAAATTTAATTATTTGGATAGAATTAAGTGAAGCCAGTAATTGCAGGTGAGGGTGCCTTTGTTTAGAAACCTGCATCATAAGGTTTGTTTTTCCACATGATCATAGCTGATACTGAAAATAGACTTTGAGTCAAATGTGCAACTTTTCCTTTGAGGAACATGGCTGTGGCTTTGAAAATGGTTTATGTATATTATCCACTTAACACCACTCCTGTTACAAATACTCACCATATCAGGCTGCCTGCCTTAATCAGGGTATATAGGCACAGTGTCAGTATGAGCATGAAAGAGTAAAAGGACCATCCAGCTGTGGAGCAGCCTGAAGAGAGTCTGTTTGCCCAGCTGTGGATGAAGCAGTCAGAAAAGTACTGGATGTATTACCTGCCACTGCCACGAGACCACCTGGGTTAGGAAACCATCTGGGAACCACTGAAATGCAGAGAGGTTCCATCGAGCTCTCTTTCAGCTGTTTGGGAGGGACAGAAGGTCCCTTTGCGGGGTACAGGTTGTGGGTGATCTTCAGAGATGAATATGATTGCCCTGTGCTAGCAGGAAGCAAAGGTTCAGCTAGTGAACCTGCGTTGCCCAGAAAAAACATAAGCCCTGAGCTCTGGCTACCCCACCTGAAAAGAGTTGACCAAAATATATGTAAAAGTCTACACTATTTTAGTGTCTGTTCTTCAGAAGTAATTTCAAACAGTCAAAAATTAATTTTCAGATATAAATAGGAACATAGACACTCTTTTCCTTTCCATGCTGATATGAGTAATTCTGTTTTCAGTGGGAAGGAAGGAGAAGAAGGATATTTCACCAAAGGCCACATGCCCTAATTGGAGCAGAATTTTAAAATCAAGTATATTTTGAAGAATCTGGTTCCACTTAGTTCTATCTTGTGTCTATGCTGACAGTGAGGATTCTGAACTTGACCTCAGAATATAGTAATACAGCTGAGGTTGGAATTTATAAAAGACATATGGAGCTATTGAGATGTGTTTAAGGAGAATCACCCATTGGGTGAGCAAGTGCTGTGGATTAGACCAAAATGTGCTTTCTCAGAAGAAAAGGCACTTAAATTTGACTGATTTGTAACTAGCAAAGTAAGTCTGACCTTGCCAAATAGTATTTCAGAATGCTTTGCTTATTTTGTGTATGCCATTTCCTAAGAATATCAGTGTTGTTGGTAAAGAACACGGAGGTGAGCAGCTTTGTGAGAGCAGAGGGGCTGTACTGCAGCAGACAGTCACGAGCCAGGAGACTTTTGCTAGAGTGCCCCAACATTTTCTGGGTAGCATCACTTAGATCTGCCTGATAAGGATAGCCTTGATACAACGGATCATGCCAAGAGCCAAAATGCAGTCTCAATTCTCTGTGTTATGTTTCACTCCACTTAATATGTTCATTTATGTAATTTCAAAGTAATCTGTAGCCAAACTGACAGCACGTGTGTGGCTGCAGATCCTCTGTTGGTGCAGTGAGGTAGAT